ATCTTTGTGGGCCAGTAACGTTCCTAGGTTTGGACTAGCTCATCCCATGGCTCTGTGGAAATCCCTGATCTGATCCAGAAGGGTGTGATCCAACACAAACAGAAATACAGCCAGTGAAGGAGCAAGAAACTGAGGCAGGACAGAGTAACTTTTGACAGGCTCCATTCCTGTTCTCCTATGCATTATCGTCCTTACTCATCTAACTGCATTCCTCCCTGCCCCTACACCCTTATTTTTTACTATCTGCAGCAGGTATTGCTGGGAAAACCAGTGAGTAAACAGCATTACTAAGTTTTTTAATTGGGCTCATAGGGAGTGGGAAAGTAAGGCTTTGGAAGACCAAGAGCCAATGTATAGGCCCTCCTGAGGTGGGACAAAGTGAGATCCTGGAGACACAGGGATAACACAGTGAGTACATACTCTTTTTGGAGGCAACTTATCAAAAAAGCTGCTTCTTGGGGGTGGGGGGGAAATAAAATTTAGGGGCCAGCAGGTGGCATAGTGGTTAAGCACCAAATTCCCATGTGACCAACTGTGGTTCGAGTCCTGGACCTGGCGGCTTCTTTCTCATTTTCTCTCTCTCTCTTTCCTCTCTCTCTTTCTCTCTCTTGTCTCTCTCTGGTGAGCACACATTCCCTATAACAAATTTTAAAAAATACTAATAATAGTAAATAAATTAAATAATTCTTTTTTTTGAGAGAGATATTTTTGCTATAGGGCATGTGTGCTTTCCAGAGAAACAGAGAGAGGCAAAGAGACAGAAAGTGAAAAATCACTCCCCGGGGGGATGACCATGTCACAACCACTTCTCCTCTATTATCCTGTTGGGATTTTGGCATGCACACACACATGCCTGGAGTGAGTTTAAGACACTGAGTCCAGGACTTTTTAAAAAATTTTTTGTTTGTTTGTTTGGTGGGTCCAGGACTTTAACCTCAGTCAACTCTATGGGAGTCCAGCAATGTAACCATTATACCATCTAATGCTCCCAATAACTAAAAAAAAAAAAAAAAAAAACAAATGCTATAGATCAGGGACAAGGAGAAGGCGGTATGGTAGTTGAAGTGCTGAACTCTTACTGCTGGCCAACCGCAGTTTAAGTTCCAGACCTGGTGGCTTGACAATTACACCATACATGTGTGTGTGCCCAAAGTCCTGAGAAGAAAATAGAGGAGAAGGGATTGTGTCATGGTCATCCCCCTTGGGGTGGGGTGATTTCTCACTTTCCCTCTCTCTGTCTTTCTTTGTCTCTCTCCAGAAAGTGCATATGCCCTATGAAAAAGCCTATAAAAGGAAAAAAAAATACCTATATGTTAGTTAGTAGTATTATTCTGATGTTCATTTCAAGTTTCAATCGTATACTATGGTTATAAAAGATGTTAACATGAAGAGAAACTATTTTCAACTTTTTTATAAGTCTAAAATTATTTCAAAATGAAGTTAAATGAAAGTTCATGAGAGATCATGGGAACCAGCAGTTAGCGTAATGGCTATGTTGCTGGACTCCCATGTAGTCGACCGCGGTTCGCATCCCGGACCCGGTGGCTTAGAACTCACGCTGGGAGTGTGTGCGTGCGTGCCCAAGATCCCGAGAGGAGAATGGAGGAGAAGGGATTGCAGCGTGACCACCCCCCCTGGGGGGTGATTTCTTGCTTTCTGTCTCTCTGTCTCTCTCTGTCTGTCTGGCGAGTG